GCATTTTTCAATCATGAATGTATAAATTAAAAAAAAAAAAAAGCCCCTCAGTCCCCAGGTGAGACAGAATGGACTTCTTGTGTCAATCAGACACCAAATTTAAAGGAGACCTCAGGCCATGCCAGGCAAAGGTAAAGTCAAGCACCTCTACACTTAAAGAATAAACTGTTCTCACTGCCACAAGGATTTTTTTTCTCCAGCAGTTAAACAAGCACTGGCCTCAAGATAAGCAATATAAAAACAATTACAGCTCACTGATCACCAGACACTGACTGACTTCCCCTGTTCTGCAAGTCATGACTACAGGTATGATTGGACAAGAGATGGATTTTAGCAACTTTCTCCTGATAAGAGACTACAAACCATGGACTGGTTCTGGCCAGTTTACAGAGGCTGTGCACTGAGTGCCTTCATGTCTCTGCTTCACCTTTTGATGTATAGAGCTCAACTGTAATACATTCCTATGTTAAGTCTCCACTGAGAAGTGAACACTGCATGTATATAATATGCATGTTTGTTCAGTACACATGCATTAAGACCCCTTCATAAATATTCACAGTTTCTCCTATAACCTAACATGTAACTTAGGTGTTAAGACCCCTTCATTAATATTCATCACTTCTCTAACCTTGTATGTATATTTAGCCAACCCCTTTACTATAAATTCCTGTCTCACCTTTTTTTCCTTGAAGGGTCTGTCTCTGGTTTTGGCCAGAGGCCTGCTTCCTAGCCCATAAAGCTCTCCTTTCTAAATATATAAAATATCTGATTTTTTTTTTTTTTGAGGTGGAGTTTCGCTCTTGCTGCCCAGGCTGGAGTGTAGTGATGTGATCTCGGCTCACTGCAACCTCTACCCCCCGGGTTCAAGCAATTCTCCTGCCTCAGCCTCCAGAGTAGCTGGGATTACAGGTGCCAACCACAACACCTGGCTAATTTTTTGTAATTTTAGTAGAGACGGGGTTTTGCCATGTTGGACAGGCTGGTCACAAACTCCTGACCTTAAGTGATCTGTCTGCCTTGGCCTCCCAAAGTGCTGGGATTATAGGCATGAGTCACCGTGCCCAGCCAATTGTCTGATGTTTTTAAGATGATGAATACAATAAACCATAGCGGCACTATTGATATCTGTCACTTTGCACCAAGAAAAATCACAGAAAATCACAGTAGAGTTGTAGTAATCGCAAGTACATATACTCACCATGACATCAAAATTTTAGTAGCTATCAGACCCACCACTAGATTGTGTTACTTAGTGACTTAATTAAAAAAAGCATATATTACTATATCATATATTTTGAGTGAGATAGTGAGAATCCTTTTAACCTATAAATTTTGTTTTATGCATTCAAAAACATTCTGGAAAGAGGCACCTAACCTTCACCAGCGTGACTCAGGAGTCCATGGTACACATCAAATGTTAAGAACTCAATATTTAGAGGCTGACAGTAAAGCACCTTCAGGAGTGCTGATGTAGATCAACTTCTTTGGAGTCAGTTTGAACTTAATGTGCACAATGCTGATCTCTCAGTAATTAACTGATAAAGTGTTTTTTTACAGAAATGAGGTGTACTGTAATATATTTACATATCAATTGTTCTTCCTTTATTAATTTCTCTAACAAAGCCATCATTTCCTTTTCTATCTTCACTAGTTGATTCACTGCTGAAGCCCTACTTTTTGCTTCCAACTTTAGCTGCCACAAATGATAAAAAAATTTCAGTCTTTGCTTCCTAATTCAGTGCGTTCAAAGTGCAGCATGTATTTTTTTGTTAAAACATTTTTTCCCAGGCCTGAAATATATGATTCATAAGGTTTCTGCATTGAGAATAAAAGGATTCACTTTAAATTCACTTCTGCAAGCCCTAGTTATTCTGTATATTTAATAACAAGCATTACAAAATCTCAACTTAGGAACAAAAAACTCTTAGTAATGAATTGTCACTACAATGATCAATGTGCCAAATTTAATTCACAGATAAATAAAAGGAAACCTTGAAAGCCAAGCAGAAGTCTAATGTGAATGTAGGCTTTAGTATAACTGACAATTCAGAGATGAACCCTTACAATATATTTCAGAGGTCTCGCTGCCTTTACATTCAAGAAATTCATTGCTGTCTCCTCTGGTTCATGGTCAACTGGTGCTCACCCTCTCTTGAAACAGAGATATCAGCTACTGATATTAGCTGACCTATATCCCCATCTAGCACAATTCTTTTTATCAGAAAAGTTAGCTTTTGCTTAGAAGCTGCCACAGTGGGTTGAATTGTCCAGTCCCTGTCATTAAAGGTGGCAGTCATGCACTCGAGAATGATGTGAAAAAACTCCAGTGAGAGTGATAATTAAACTTGGAAAATGAAGGGTCACCTTCTTTCATTCAGCTCATTGGGCAAACCCATCAGAATAATTCCAAAACAGTGGGGGACTGTCTACTCTCAGCATGGCAATATCTAGGTGCACACACATTATTTCTATGGGTTCAAATGGGAATGCCATTTTAATTGTATTTAAAATGTTATCTTTGACATGAGGAGTAAAAATATTAGAAATTAGTTTTAGGAATACAGAAAAGGAAAAATGTGTATAATCTAAATAGGGAAAAGAATTAGAAACAAGAAAAGGATGCAGTGTTTTCTCAAGGAAAACCATTAAGAGAAGAAAATTATCCCCAGGGAAATTGAAAAGAACATTAACTATGTCTCTTCTTTCTACTTGAGTGTAGAATCACAAAGCAAGCGTTTCATTCAGCTTTCTTGTCCACTTACTGTCATTTCTTGGTGGTCATTATTACAACAACTTGCTCCAACCCAAAAAAGAGAAAAAATATCATTTGAAGTTAAGACAATCAATTGATAGGAGTTATTTTCCAGGAAAATGATTTTTTTCAGACATATTAGCTTATATAGATACTACTGAAGCAGTATTTTAGAAATTATATTTCATATTGTTCTCATATTGCATTAAAATGTAATACTGGGCTGGGAACAGTGGCTTACACCTGTAATCCCAGCACTTTGGGAGGCTGAGGTAGGAGGATTGCTTGAGTCCAGGAGTTCAAGACCAGCCTAGGCAACATAACAAGACTTCATCTCTACAAAAAAATTAAACAAGTAGCTGGGCATGGTGGCATGAGGCCGTAGGCCCAGTTACTTGGGAGGCTGAGGCAGGAGGATCACCAGAGCCTAAAAGCTGGAGGCTGCAGTAAGCCATAATGGTGCCACTGCACTCTGGCCTGGGCTACAGAGTTGGGGGGGACCCCATCTCTAGTTTTTCAAAAAGAGTAATACTGAATATTTAAGGACAACATAGGCAAATGCACTGCACCGGAGAGTGCTGTTATCACACAGAAGCATGGACGGTAAAAGCAAATTTCAAGTTCAAATTCTAGCTTCACCATATATTGGGTGTGTAATGATGGACATGGTACTTAATTTCTGCATGCCTCAGTTTCCTCATCAGTGAAATAGAAAAAATAACACTACCTATCTTACAAGGCTGTTCAAAAAAATCAAACGACTTTTAAATAAATAAAACTTTTATAACTGTGCCTAGCACAGAGTTAGTGCTGTATGAATGCTCATAACATATTATTGTCATTATTATTATGTTGCATGTTCAGTATCTGGCAAAGTATTTAATACTGTAGATCAAGTTTACAAACATATTATTTCTTTTTATAGTTGACCATTTTTTTTGTCCTTATCATTCTGAGAAAAGCTTCCCAAAAGATGTGGATCCTTTAAAAAACAAATAGCTCAGCATAATTCTTATATAGAGTTAATTATATAATGTGAAAATAGGGATACTTTTAAAATTAAGCTCAGAAAGGGAAAAATTCCTAATAATCAGAAACTATAGATTTTAGACATGTCTTGATAACTCCTCTCACAACTAAAAGACTGTCTTGTGGAAGATAAGTTATATTTGTTCTACATGCATATATTTTATTTCAAGTTAAGAGAGTTTTGAAATAATTAGAGCCGTCTAACACAGGAAAAAAAAAAAAAAAAAAAACTTGATGGGCAAGGCAGTTGTGTGATTTCTATATTCCTGGGCAAGGCAGTTGTGTGATTTCCACATTCCTTTGTAAGAATTTGCAATTTATCAGTTTGTAGACAAACATGCACAAATTTCAATAGATTTAAAAATATTTATCATTAGCATACTTAAGTGTTCTCTTTTGTCTTTGAGAGACATATATAGGTAAAAAAAAAATTTCCATGACATAAACACACACCTTGCCTCAAACTTCAACCTCCATTCACTATCAGTTCATTGAAAGAATGAAAGGAAGAGAAATAAGTTGTGTGTGTTTGAAAGAGACAGAGAATTGAGGAGGACTGAGGGGAAAAGGGAGGAAGAAGACAGTAAGAGGGAGAGGGAGTAGGAAAAAAAAAGGAAATGGAAGAGGGAGGTGGGAAGGAGAGGAACAATAAATAAACAACACTAAGGATAACCTCACCAGACTATTAAAGCCTGATTTTACTGCAATATTTATGCATGGTTCTTTAAAGAAAAAAAAGATTTTATAAAAGATAGTTGGCTAATTTATTGTAAGAGTGTCAAAATTATTTGGTAAATTATTTCCCACTGAAAAAATATAAACTTCATAGGAAGATATGCTGCTTCTGCCTCAGGTTTATATTTAAAATGATTTACAGTCTGCAATTTCTTCCTAAGGTCATCACCGTCATAAATACTAGCCACATACAGTGAAAACCAACTCAATAAAATGAGTATTTCATTTCTCTTCCTTCTGCTTATGTAGATACTTCTTCCATCTTACATGGCACCCATTTATAACAAAGCCTTACATTGTGTGGATTTGTCTGAGCTCTTGAGCTTTTCTTTCTTTTTTATCTTTCAATGCATCAGCAAAGCAACTGGCAGATTCTTTAATAAAATATACACATTAATATTTATAAGTCTATGAATTGGATGTTTAAATAAACATTCACCAACTTATGCCAATTCTCTTGTTTTAGATGTTAAATCACACTTACGTTGTCTGGAAAGTCAGCCTTTAGTTCATTGACACTTTGACACCAATATGCAGCTGTTTTCTCACTGATGAGCTCAATATTCAGAAAGGAGCTTTGTCCAGGGCCATACATGGGGCCAGAGGTGGTCCCCCTGATGATTCTGGGTGAAACATTTGTCACAATGTCCTGATGAAAGAGTAAAGATACTGAGTCTCCTTTGGACAAAGAACCTATAATCTTATTATCTGCTCATTTCCATATGACAATATTTTCTGAAGTCGCTTCCCACATTTTTGCAGAGGAATTTTTAATATATGTAGAATTGAACATAAACTATTTGCAAATAAAAAGGTAAAATGAAGTATTTGTTAGTGTTAGCTAAATTACTTCTTGTAATTCTAGGTTTAGAATAGTGCAAAAATAAGTATATTTATATTCATTAACACTGATTTAGGGCATACACATTTTAATTTGGTTGCAATTAAATAATAAAAACATAATAGGTCTGCAAAAATTTATCATTTGTCTATTTAATCTAGGTATCTCCAATCATAGTTTAACTCCAATAAGAGTTAATGTTTGCTTAAAGTATATATTTTTTTCTAAAACAAAGTAATTCCAATGTAAATCAGCCAAAGAATACATATTAATATTACTGGCTCATCAACCATTAACTCATATTCTAACAAACTGGCTGGGTCAAATTACCTATAGGATTATAACTATATATTCACATTCAATGAGAAGAAAGTCATTTTTTCCAAGACCGAAATGAATATATCAATATATATCAATAATTTCCTGATACCAATAAACAGTAAACAGTAAAATTAACTTGCTTGTTAAGTGTAATTAACAATCTACAACTGCTTCTAAAGCCATATTAACAAAGAAGAATGACATCCTTCCATTACTTAAAACTAAAAAGAAACAAAGAAGAAAAATGTTTCTTTTGCCAACTTCCAATTAAAATTAATTTCGAGTAAAGGTCATTTAGTTAAGGATTTATCAGAATTAGTCATTTAAGTACCCCTCCTCACCATCTTGTCACTTTTAGTAAGATAACATGAACCCCCATTAGTATATAGCAATTAAGGTCAATTTACATATTTTAATTAAGAACCACCCCATATAAAACAATTAGCGTAATAGGCATACTAACTGGATTTCATAACATTTGGACGTTTTTCCAACTAGATAGACAGGAAACCTTAATTAGCATTAATTAGTGCTGATCTGCATATGTTTGATAAGGCATACCCTTGCCACAAAAGATTATTTATTCCTGAATCTGCCAAATGCTACAGTTGCAGAGGATAAAAGGACTTTTCTTCACATTGCATGTTAATTTCTGGTAATTTACATTCACTTTTACATTCGAATTAGTATATTATAAAATAAATGGTATAAATGTTACAATAAACCTCCTTAAATATGTACATTTTAACTTATAGGAATCATGCCAGTTAATTTTTTTACTAATTAAGCCATTCCATTTCTATTGTAATTGTGTGCAACATCACCAGCCTTGCTTTGATTTGCTATTGTGAAACCATGTTTCACAATCTTAATGGGTAAAATGACAAATAGAGTTACCACAGGAAGCTCAAGCCTAGTGGGTCAATTTCCATCTTGGCAAATGCTTAAATGTATGTTCTACATCCCTACAGGTGGCTCTGTGAAGCTCACTCAGTGGGTCCTCTGGTGTTTTCATGGTCTGAGAAGACAATTCTTGAAATGTTTCACTCAAATGAGGCTGGTTTTCTTCTATGTTCCGATTTTCAACAGACATACTCTTTAAGCCTTGAGATCCTCCTTTCCTCTGCTTTACTCTCTATTCTAAATACTCTTCACCTAAATAAGTCCAGCCTAGGCCACAAGTTGTTCTCTACACGGGATCTCTTGGACAAGGAGGAGTGAAGTCTGTATTTAGTTTGCCAAGTCAAGTGCCCTGGTACTGTATAGGTGGGTAAATAATGAGGCCTCTGGTTTTGATGACAAAGCAGGTTCTTCAGGCCTAGTCAACAAAACAGACTTATGTTAGCAGCATCCCTACTCCTGCCTGTTCTCCAGATCTTCACTTAGATTTCAGTTCCTTTGAGAAATCTTTCTTTTCTCTCCAGCTCCACTGAGTCTTAGTAACATGCTCTGATTCATGCCACTATAACAATATATATACCTTTCCCAATTGGCATTCTTACTGCCATTTATTGTGATTGTCTGTATTCCTGACTGTACCTTCCACTACAGCGTAAGACTTGTAAGGAAAGAAACTATATCTTGTTTACTATCATACACACAGCTTCCAGCCTGGCCTTTATGGTGCTTAAGCATTGTTTCTTAAATGAGTCTAGACTAAAACCATAGGCACTAGAATGAGTCTTGTCCTGAAGTACGGGAACCAAAGGCATTTATTGCTGGCCACCTTCTGCTGTTGAACAGAGCAGGGGGTTTGGGCTATGAAATAGTTTGGATGTGTACCCCACCCAAATCTCATGTTGAAATGTAATCCTCAGTGTTGGAGGTGGGGCCTGGTGGAGGTGACTGATTGCATCATGGGGAGAATTTCTTATACATCATTCTCTCGGTACTGTCCTCATGATAGTGAGTTCTTAGGAGATTTGGCCCTTTAAAACTGTGTAGCACCTCTCCCCTCTTTCTCTTGCACCTGCTTTGTCATATGATGTGACTGCTCTCCCTCTACCTTCTGCCTTGATTGGAAGCTTCCTAAGACCTCCACAATAGCAGATGCTGCTTTGCTTCCTGTAAAGCCTGTGCAGAACCATGAGCCAATTAAATTTATTTTCTTTAAAAATTTCTGAGTCTCAGGTATGTCTTTATAGCAAAAACAGGCTTTTATTCAAAGTTCAGGATTTATTACTATGCTTAGATCTTTTCCTGCTAGTCCATTTATCTAGAATTGGGGTTCTTACTTGCTTCTTCTGATCCATCAGGGATCCCTTTGTCTACAACTCAGTACACCCCTTACCATGGCTAGATCCCTGAACCAAGTGTTGTGATACAAATCACCCACTGCTATAAGCCTTCTCAAGGCAGCATACTGTGAAGACTCCTTTACAGAAAGCATGCTTGAACGTCATCACACTGCAGCTTCTAAGACCTTTCTGATTGCTGGTTCTTAACTGCCGGGTATGGCTGATCTCTAGGATTTAAATAGAATGGCCCCATTCAGATGCAGTCCAACTCCCAGGCTTTTTTGGTTCATGTGGATGTGAATACCTAAACTGGTCCATGACCGCCTAGGCTATTTCCTAGTTAAGGAGCCTGTCCAACTACAGTTGTCTTTTATGTTTCTCCTGTAGGCTAAGAACACATCTTAACGGTATACATGGAAATTTTTAAAATATCATAGAATATAAAAGACACGGAATGGAAATTTCACCTATAACTCATAAGGGCAAACCTCATGGTTCACAAATTCTAAGCTATGTGCTATTTACAGTAACCCTACTAATAACCATGAGACCAGCATCTCACATTACCCAAAAGGATCAATAAGCTGACAATATTTAATTGGAGAACTGTCAAGGAAATGCTTCTTTCTTAAGCATTTCCCCCGCTCAGTGATACCTCAAAAGCTACAATTCTATCTTTAAGAATTTTTTTCTTTGTATTACGAGTGTATTACGAGTTAAGTTTCTGACTAATGTTGGAGCTGTTTTATTTTTCTCTTCTACGATGTGTTAAATGTAAATATATCAATGATCTCCTTAATCAAGATAATGAATATAAAGTACAAACCAAATCAAAGGGAAATTTATCTACTTCATGATAGAGAATGCTTACTGCTTTGTGTTGATTTTTAATAGAGAATGTTTATTTAAAAACATCAATTTTATCATTCCTTAATTCAAGTAAAGATAAAAAACCCTTTATAACTTCTCAAATTACAGATGCCTACTGTTGTAGACCTTGTTAACTGTCTGTAAGTCATTTGTTAACATCATAGAAATTCAACATTTTCCAAATTCAGCTACAGTGGCAAAATTCCAATATATTCATCCAGTAGTAAGTCAGTAATACAAATATTATTCTAGGTTTTCTTTCCCAAATTCAGTCATGTTTGCTATTGTTTTGCCAAAAACTTTCTCCACTGACTTGAGACTTCTTAGAATTTTTAAATTAAGTGAAAGATGAATGAAAACATGGATATAACCAATTATCCTTGGTTACATAACTAGAGTTAGAGTTTAATAATTGGACAATAACTTACTAAAGCTTTTGACCTGGGAAGACTAGAAGTTGAGCATGATTTCATAAGAGAATACTTTGCTTTAATATTTAATAGCTAAGTCTTATTAGCATTGCTTAAGGGAGTTAATATAACAAAATAAACATATTCAAGAATATTTAGAGTATATAAGAGTTCATTCACTATAATAAAAAAGATAAACTGCCATAGTTCTAATCTTCAGTGCATTAACTATATTCAGATTTTTAAAAACAGATGTTTATAGAAAAGGAAGTGTTAGGTACTATCTCTGCTTTATGTGATATTATAACTACCATTATAACATCAAGTATTAGTGACCTTTTAACATTTGAAGTGATGGTAATGATTTTTCTCTATCAGAAAAGAGATTTAAATGGTAAACCAACTGATCATATTTGTTTAGGTTCATTTACTTGACCTCTCTTATTCTAAAAACTTATGATGTTTCCATGGTTACCACTGAATTAAATCAGTCACAATGGCGACAATGAACAGAAAAAGAAAACTTTGCAGAAATGTCTGGGTAAGAGACTAGAAAAAGAATGGGGTCAAACAAAGTTGGATGAAAATAAGAAATAAAATTTGCAGAGTGAATCATAACTACACAATGGATGAATTTTATAAACATGTTGTCAAATGAAAAGGGCAAGTTCTAGAAAAATATGTAGAATATGACACACAACACAAGCAATATATTGTTTAGTGAAACATACTAATATGACAGAACTATAAATATAAGTAAGATGATAACAAGAAATAATTCAACATAGATGTTATCTCTTGGAGTAGGTAGATGCTGGAGGAGAATTTGGGAATGGTAGAGCAAGGAGGGCTTTCTGAAAGTACTAGTGATATATAATTATGAAGATGCTTTACTCTTAAACTGCAGAAGTGTGGCCGAATGAGAAATCTGTTCAATGAGCTATGTGGTAGTACAGCGTATACTGCTATGAGCTATTGAGAAAGTTTTATCAGTTTACCTGAAAACCTGTAACTGATATCTAAGAAACATTTGTTTTGTTTGTTTAACTTCCAAGATTTTGCTGTAAATATTTTGTCGAAAATAGTTTAATTATTTGGTTTTATAAAGTAGGAGTTCAAAAATTAAATGTACCTCATGACAAATTATCTCCTAAAATATATCACTTTCCTGATAAAATCCTACTGAGATAAGTACAATTTATGCATTATTCCATAAAAGGGGAAAGTCACTCTGCAAACAACTGCAACAACAAATATCTTGTTACAGAGTAGGATTCCATCATTATAACTAACATACTGCTACCCTGGGAATAGCCAAAAATGTAATAGAAGTTGAAGAGTGGCCCAGTTTCTAGAGCAATTGGGCTACTATGAAATAACTCGCTAACATTTTATTTTCTTCATGAGCTAAGTATATTAATATTTGATTCCTCCCCCAAATAAACTTTATAATGGTCAGAATAATCTCTACTTGGTTTTCTTGGATGGGCAGAGTGGGCAAGATGAACATTTGTTCTCAATAAATCATTTTTTCTCTTATAGTATCTTATACAAAGACAGTGCTCAATATCTGAATTAGTGACAGAATTTGCCCTTTTGTCATCAGGAACTTCAGACCTATCTACATGGAAAACACAATAAGCAAAATCACACTATTATCCTAGACATAAAAGATAAATTATCACAGAAGTTGTAGCATTCACACTGCAGAAAAAAAATAGTATTTTAGATATGTGTAGCACAAATCTATCACATATATCACTGTTTTGGAATTATTGCAACCTACGCATCGTGGTTGCATATCTAGTAAGCATTAGAGATGAGACTAGAACTCAGTATACTTATATGATATGTATAATAATGATGTCAGTGACCTCTTAACATTTGATATACATAATAGTAATTAGAACTGATTTCAGTTGCAAGAAAAAACAGATCAACTTGAATAAGCTAACTTTTTAAAAAGTGGGATGTGTTTCCTTTATCTTAAGGAGAATGAGTATTTCACAAAACACACATGCAAAAATGCAACTATACCTCAGCTAGGAAAGATTCTGTTTCTCCTCTGTGTTTCTGTTGGCTTATGTCCTCATTTTTCTCTCTCTCTACAGAGGCCTTCCTCTGTCTCAGTTCATATAATAGAATACAGCGACTATAGCTCTCCGACAGGTCCCAAGTTTACAAGTCATAGCAAAAGACACTCTTCCAAACTTGTAATCTCTTAGGCCAGATTTTAACCCCTGGTGACAGAGGCCCTAATGGGCTTAAGCTGCATTAGTTAGTTATCCCTTGTTTAATGAACTATGTCTGGCAGGATAAAATTAATTAGGATTCACACAGATGCTCAGGAAAACAATGAGGGGGTAATTGAGAGCTGGACAACTAGTAACAAAGGAATCTGCAACGTCAGGACCAGTAGATTTAAATTCACCTTAGAAACTTCAGAAGAAAATATACAGACACTGATAAATTATTATTAGGAAAGTGGTGGTAAAACGGGCAAAATAATTATCATTTAGTGAAATAAAACCTCTCCATAGTCTTGAATCAAACAGGATAATCCATTTCCTATTCCTGTGGCCCAAAATCTTGCAAGATCAAAATTCTAGAACCCTTTGACGTTCTCCAATTT